CCGAGGCCTCTGGGCAAGATGCCAAGAACAAGCCCGAAGCCCCTGAACCCAACTAACCCCTAAACCCCTCAGCCACCCCAGCAGACATCCGATGAACCGCCTCTCTCTCAAACTCCTGGGGACCTTGAAACTCTTTCCTGGCACCCCTTCTAGGCGTCAGTTGAGACCTTTTCCTGGAACCCCCTCTGTCTCTCTCTCTTTCCCTCTTTCGCTCTTTCTCTGTTTCTTTCTCTCTCCTCTCTTTCTGTTTTTGAGGCAAGGGGCTGCCAGCCAGCAGGTGTGCCCCGTTCTGCAGGTACCAAAGGAGGTCGAACTTGGCCTCTGGTTTTAGGGCTTCGGGTTTAGGGCTGCGGGAGTGAGAGCCGTAAAAAGACCTCAACCTTCAATCCTGAGGCCTGAAGAACACCAAAAAAACCCACAAAAAAACCAAAACAATAAAACTCCCAAAACTCCAAAACCTCCAAAACCTCCAAAACCTCCAAAACCTCCAAAACCTCCAAAACCTCCAAAACCCCCCAAAACCCGAAAAACCCGAAAATCCTGCAACCCACCAGGCGCCCCAAGGCGAGGCGCCCCTGCCACCGAGCCCTCGCGGAAGCGCGTTTGCAAGGCCAAGGCGTCCTGGAGCGGCAAGATCTCCTGGCAAGGGAGGGGTTTAGGGTTTAGGGTTTAGGGTTTAGGGTTTTGGGTTTAGGGTTTTGGGTTTAGGGTTTAGGGTTTTGGGGTTTTGGGTTGGGTGTTTGGAGGTGGGGGGGGGGGCTGAAAGGGTTTTGGGGCTTTAGGGGGTTTAGGCTCGGATTTCGTGTTTTGGTGAAGGGCGATTGGGCAGTAAGGGTCTTTCTGGAAGAATGTTCTTTGAGGCCTTCCTTCGCCCTGAGCCCCAGCCCTGCGCAGCCCCTTCCTCCATGGAGTTCTGGGGGAACTCGAAGGCATACCTCAGAGGTCTCGAATTCCAGGCTTCTGGAGAGGTTTAGGGCTTGGGGTCTAGGGCTTCGGGTTTAGGGTGTGTTAATTTCCATGCCCTTTTTTCCAAACCCTAGACCCTATGGCCCTAAACTCTGATTGCCCGAAAGCCGAAACCCTGCATCCCCGAATCCCAGAAACCTTAAACAATAAGAGCGTTGACAGGCGGGCAGCTGCTTTTTGATCAGGCCGATGGCATCTGCCAAGGACTGGCACATCTCCTCGGTAGCTCAACAAGCAAAAGACAATGCGTTGTTTTCGAGAGTTTTAGTGATTTTAGTGTTCAGAGCGATTGGGAAAGCTGTTGGGCCTCTTGTCTGGGGTGTTGATGAAGCCCGAAGGGCCAAGGAGCAACATGGGCAAGGCACAAGACTCACAAGAGTAAAACAAAAAAATGATATCGGCCCCTGATATTCGGTGTCCCAGAACCATGCCTAAAGCCTTTTGTAGACTGAAACGCATGGAGTTCTGGATACCTGGATGTGGAATACCGGCAGTGCCTACTTCGCCCTGTCAATCCTAAAGCCAAACTCCTCAGCCCGACTCCCTCGACCTCCAAAACCCTACCTTTTTCAATTCTCAGCACTCGACCCTGAAGCCCTCCCCAAGCAGGGCACGTAGTAGAGGCTAAGGTCAAAAGAAAATGTTGCATCACATTGCTTAACATACTCGACCCTGAAGCCGTCTCAAGCAGGGCGCGTAGTAGAGGTTGAGGTCAGGAACCTCCTGGCGCGGAAGGCGCACTATGGGGATCCATTATCGGGCTCTTAAGGGAGGGGGGTTCATGTTCATGGGGGGTAGGTACCTAGGGAGCCTTAGGGGCCGTGCTGTGTTGCGCTTGCTGCTTGGACCGGTTGCAACCGCACCCTAAACCCTAAACCCTAAACCATAAACCCTAAACCATAAACCCTAAACCCTAAACCTGAAACCCTAACTCCTAAGTTCTAAGCCCGAAATAACCCCGAAGTCCATAGTCTGAAGAGTCAAGCCCGCACTGCTCCAGGCCGCCTTCTTCTTCTTGGCGCTGTACTCCAGGGCCATGGACGTCCGCCTAAGGAAGTGGGGTGGCTTGCAGGAGCTTCGGGTTCAGAGTTTAGGGTTTAGGGTTTAGGGTTTAGGGTTTAGGGTTTAGGGTTTAGGGTTTAGGGTTTAGGGTTTAGGGTTTAGGGTTTAGGGTAGAGGGTAGAAGAGCGAGACAAAACCGTCGCGGCCAGGGCGCATGATGTGCGCTAGCTGGAACTCCCAGGGGGTCAACCTCCAAGCAAAGGCCGGGGCACATCAGGGGGGAGCTGCTGGCCATGTGTTCTTCAAAGGATTCAGGGATCTGCTCTCTTGGGAGCCCTTTGGGTCTCAACACCTGATCCCTTAAATCCCAAAACCCTTCAACCCGATGCTTCTTCGGGTCCAGGCGGAGCTCGTCTTCGGGGAAGACGGCTTTGGGCTGCAGGGTCGTTGAACCCGTTTCGGCCTCGGGATCTCCTTTTCCTCGACGAGGTTCACCCACCCTGTGGTGATGGTCTTGTTCTTTCCAGACCTCGGAAGGCTCCGCGTGGGGAGGGGGGGGGGGGGGGGGGGGGGGGGGATGTTAGGGGATTAGGGGTGTAAGCGGCCTGCAGCCAGCCCAGTCTTTGCAAACCTTTTGACCACCACCCCACGGGAATTCCCAACCCCACCACACCCCACCACACAAAGCAGCCCCTAGACCCCGAACCCGAGACCCGTATACCCTCAACATCAATGAGTCGAGGATCTTACAAGGCTTCAGGGTGTGGTCGCCGCAAGCCCTGCTGAAACCCTGAGCCCTTAAACCTTTAAACCCTGCGCCATCAAGCCCTACAAACCCCGAAACTCGGAAAACCCTTGAAACCCCTGAGCCCTCAAACCCTAAACCGCTCAAAACTTGAGAGCCCTGCACTTCTCGAACCCAGGTGACCCGTAAAAACCCTGAAACTTCTAACCTTGAGATTCCTACACCCTGAAACCCCTAAAGCCCCGAACCCCCAAACCCCAAAAAGCCCTAAACCCTAAAACCCTTTTAACACCCCAAGCCCCAAACCCCTAAACCCTCACGCGATCTTCGACAGGCGAGGCCAAGTGGCTCCCCATAGATCATGTTCTTGATCAGGTTCTGGACCTAGGTTCGGGTTTAGGGTTTAGGGTTGGGTTTAGGGGTTTAGGGTGTAGGGTTTACGGTTTAGGGTTTAGGCTTTACGCTTTAGGCTTTAAGCTTTAGGCTTTAGGCTCTAAGCTTTAGGCTCTGGGCTCTAGGCTTTCTTTAGGCTTTCGGGTTTAGGATTTAGGGTTTAGGGCTTAGGGCTTAGGGTTTAGGGTCTAGGGTTTCGGGCTCAGAGAAGGACACTTCAGCTCGCGGCCTGAAGAGGCTGAAGGTAAAGCTCTGCAAATCCACCAGCTTGCCGCCCCTCCCCCCCCCCCATGCCTCCCAAAAATAACAAAAAAAACAAAGCCCCAAGCACTAAACCGCCCTAAGACCCGAAGCCCCAAACATTGAGGCCCTAAGCCCCGAACTCCCAACAAACACGAAAACCCAAAACCCTCAAAAGCCCCTAAACCCTACACCCTACACCCTACACCCTACACCCTAAACCTTAAACCCTAAACCCTAGACCCTAAACACCAAACCCTAAACCCTACACCCTAAGCAGACCGCCGGCCTGCAGCTTCTCCTTCGCATTGAGCTGCACCGCGTCCTTCTTCTTCTTCTTATCCTGAAGGGCATTTTGGGTTTTTTTTTTTTAGGAGTTTAGGGGTTTAGGGCTTGGGGTTTGGGGGTTCTGGGGGTTTAGGGTGTTTAGGGTGTTTTTAAGGGGTTTCGGGGGGGGGGGGGGGGGCGTAGGAAGTTTAGGGTTTAGGGTTTGGGTTTAGGGTTGTCGAACTCTTCGGAGGGGAGGGGGGGGGGGGGGGGGGGGCAAGTTCAAGGCAAAAAGACAAAATGTCTCAAGGGGCCCTACCTACGCAGTTTATGACCCCACTTTAGCTACCTCAAAGCCAAAACACGGTCCGAATGTGTGTTCGTGTTGGTTTGGGCTTGTTTTGGCTTTGAGATTTGAACATGCAGGGGTATGGGATCCCATCGAAACCCTGAACCCACTTGCCAGTCGAGCCACTTTCGCATCCTTCTTCTTGTCCTTCTTGTCATCCTGCCCCCCCCGGCTGCGTTATGAGAGGCTCAAGGTGCATCGTGCGCCGCCCCGGTTTAGGGTTTAGGGTTTAGGGTTTAGGGTTTAGGGTTTAGGGTTTAGGGTTTAGGGTTTAGGGTTTAGGGTTTAGGGTTTAGGGTTTAGGGTTTAGGGTTTAGGTTTAGGGGTTAGGGTTTAGGGTTTAGGGTTTTGGGTTTAGGGTTTAGGGTTTAGGGTTTAGGGTTTAGGGTTTAGGGTTTAGGGTTTAGGGTTTAGGGTTTAGGGTTTAGGGTTTAGGGTTTAGGGTACCTTTTTTGTGGCTAAAAGTTTTCTGTCAGGGTTTGGGGCTCGCATCCCACATGCACCTCGTACACAACACGGCCCTCGTGACCCCAAACCCTACAATCGATTCTCGGCACAACCCGGCACCGCCCTCTCAAGATCCGAAGCCGTCCGAAAAACCAGCGCCACTCCACGGGTTTGGGGCCCGGGCCTCCTCCTTCTTGTCCTTCTTGTCCTTCTTGTCCTTGTCGTCCTTCTTGTCCTTCTTATCCTTCTTGTCTTTCTCATCCTCGCCGAGGCTGAGATGGGGGGGACGACAGCTTCAGCGGTCTCCACAGAAAAACGTGCGCTCTGAGGGTTTATAGGGTTTAGGAGTTGGGGTTTAGGGGCGCCCTTGGCCCTGCGCGCCTCCTTCTTCTTCTGCGCCGGCATAAACCTCGAGTAGCAGAGGGGCCCGAACACTGAGCGTTGAGGGGTTAGACGTGAGGGTGGTTCCTGGGTTGTGGGGGCTGCTGGGGCAGAGCTGAGGCTTGAGGGCTTAGAGGGGTGGTAGGCTTCGTAGGGTTTGGGGGTTCAGGGTGGCCCATCCAGGGGGGTGGGAGGGGCTGCGGATGTCTT